GAAAAATGGATAATAAATCAAATTTGGTATTATTGAATTTTATTTTTCAAGCTTGATAAAATGGATGATAACTCAAACTTGATATTATTGAATTTTATTTTTCAAGCTTGATTTATTTATTGTTTGATATTATACTTTATAGATTATATTGTATTTTAATTATTTAAATTTTATTTAAATATTGTTAAATATTTTATTTAGTAAGTTACGAGCATAATTGTTTTTTCTTGTTTTCTAATTCTAAGCTTTATCATTCTTTCCTCTTTATTCTTTTTAAATTTTATTTTGAAGTGTTTGAAAGTATAGTAATGATTTTTTTAAAATAATTTTTATTTTGAAATATATTAAAATAATATTTTTTATTTTTTAAAAATTAATTTAATTTCAGTATATTAAAACGATTTTAACACATAAAACAATAAATAATTTATTTTTAAAAAATACATTTAAAATACAAAATCAAGCAGGGTATTTGTCCGCATTACAAGAGCAGCATGGTACACTGACAAATCACTAGAAAAAAAAAAAAAAAGAAGCTATTTTAATTCCTTGACTTTCACCAATAAAAAGCTATTTTAATTCCTTGACTTTCACCAATGTGATCGAGGACTGGAAGGATTTTCTGTTGTCTGCTCTAACCACAGGATTAGTTCTGCCCTAATCACCTCGATTCCAGTATGATTTTTTTTTTTTAATAGTTTTTGGAATGAAGGACTTCTTCGCCTTGCACTACGCTGTGCAGAAAGCCCCAGTTAAGCATTGCATTTTAAATGATGGTAAAATTTTAATTTTTTATAATTTTAAATGTACTGGTATAAAACAAATAATATTATTTTAATTTATTTCTAAAACAAATACTTTAAAAAACAATAACTACACTATTTTCAAAAACCTCTAAAAGATCCAATGCCAATCCCCAAAAACAATGAAGCTTTACAGGGTCTTTCGCCGTGCCCGGAGATGGAGAAATCTCCCTAACCTCAAGGCCGATACCAATCCTCTTAACCAAAAAGAAAGGGAGTATATCTTTCTTGTATTCCTATAAGGAAGTTTTTGATGTAGTTGCTATTTGTTTTTTTCTTAAACGTCCAGATTTGTTCCCAACTCTTTTAGTGAGGCGCTTTTAAGCGAGTGAAAATGGTCTTTTAAACCTTTTTTGTTCCAGTTTCAAGCCTTTGTCAAGAGCAACAAACCGTGCATTACTTGTCAAAAAAAACAAAACAAAACTGTGCATTAAACATTAATCAGGAAGCAATAGAATGTCTGAGAAGAATGTGTGCCCATTGCATACTTGGATAACAATACTCCCATGTTATTATTGTGTAAACACTTTATGTTATGTTTTGTTGGTCAAATCATGTTTCTTTCCGTGATTACATTTAGAGCTGGTTTGTGCAAAAGGATTGTGCCACTAATCACGCATAAGGCGCTCGACATCGTGATTGGCGAGGGCTGTGCAACTAATTTACTTAGTTACAGCATCTTCATTAATGGACACTGCAAGAGTAGAAGCAAGGACGATGCAAAATCACTCCTTGTTGAAATGTCTGAAAAAGAATTAACTGCTGACACTGTCAAGAAGCAAGGTTTGTGCCCAGTAGGGAGACCTCGAGAACCTCCAAAACTTTTCAACGTGATGTGTTCTCATGGCCTGCTTCCAGATTTGATTACTTACTCGATTCTGCTAGATGGCTTATTCAAAAATGGGCATTTGGACGAGGCCTTAAAACTGCTCTGGTCAACGCAAGAGAAGAAATTAGAACCTAACATCGTCCTTTATACTATTCTTATTGAAGGCATGTTTATTTCTGGGGAGCATGAAGTTGCAAAGGAACTGTTTTTCAAGCTTTCTGCAGATGGAATACGACCTGCTGTACGGACATATGATGTAATGATCAAGGGACTTCCTAAAGAAGGGCTGTCAGATGAAGCATACGAATTGTTTAGAAAAATGGAAGATGATGGCTTCTTGCCGGACAGCTCGTCTATCATTCAAGGATTTCTTCAAAATCGGGACTCATCAACCGCTATACGACTTGTTCATGAAATGGTTAGTAAAAGATTCTCGGCAGATTTGCCTACATTTCAGATGTTGTTGGATCTGGAATCTCATGATGAAATCATAAGCAGATTCATGACGGGGAGCTCTCAAGGTAGGAAAATGAAGTGAAATTTTCCTATTCAAATGCTGTTGTAGGTTGCTGTCCCTCTTTTGAGTTCTCACAATACTCAGTTCTTCGACTTTATTGTTTAACTAGTAACACTCTCATGCACATCAAAATCCGTCGTTTTTGTGCTGCTATCCATTATCCGTACCACAGCAAACACAATTTTTTCTTCCAATCCCTTAATTTCTTATTATCAGGAATTCCATGGTTGGTTAGGGGCCTGTACATCTAAGAATATACATTGAAGAGAGTTAACTGATGGCTTGGACATTATTCCATATCTTCCAAGATCTTGTTTACCATGAACCCTTCTGCTTGACGAGGTTTGCTGCTCTTTCTCCCTTTACGGCCACTATATTTTTACAATTCAAATTCATAATCACAGCAGTGATGATTGACGCATGTCTGCTGCTCAAGTTGACACCATTACCACATGCATGATTCATATCCATACATAATCATGTTACACGATGACACTTATCAATTACCTCTGTGATTTTCACAATTCAAACGCAGACTTCTCTTTGATGAGGTTTGCTGCTCTTTTTCCCTTGACGAATACCAATAAATATTGATGCGTGTATGCTTATGGACACACCTGGTCATTTTCATAATTTAAATGCATTCAATTCTATCTATAACCCCTCAACTGAAGTCTCATTCTTGTATGATGAAGCTCTCAAGTGTAGTGAGATAATTAATTGAATTTCATGGCGTAATTTTGAGCCGAGGTCAATTTTTTACTGATTTTTTACAATTAAAGCCAATCTTATCAAAGTTTGCTTTTTAAATTTACTTCTTAAAAAACATAAACCACTAGTCAGCGCACCGCACCCCATCATCAAACTGAAGTTCAGTGATTAAAATATCCCCACTACATCAACAATCCACTAGTCAGTGATTAAAATACCCCCACTCCATCATCAAACTGAAGTTCAAGCCAAACAAAAGCCAGCAAGGTCATTGATCCTCTCTCTCTATTTTTTTTTCCCTTGCTGCTATCAACTGGATGTTGAAGATGAAGTGAACAGAAGCAACAAAACAAGTATACAACAACTTGGAGGCTCCATTCTTGCATCCGAATTGCCTAAAATCAAAACCAAGAAGGCTATTCTATTCTGCACGCTCTAAGCTTTGGAACGCCTAAACTCGAACCAAATTTCATAGTGGTTGAAAAGCAAGCTATCATGTGTATGCTTTCCAAGATACTCAAGTCCCAAACTGGTCAACCTCTTAGTGCATTCCTCACCTCCCAGTCTTGAGCAGAACTTTATATTATGTGACACGAAGATTCGGCCATCATAAGGCTTCAGCTTGCTCACTAATCTTTCTAGTCCAACCCAGACAAGCTTATCAGGCATATGAAGAAACACAGCACTAGCATATATCAAATCATACACAACTCCAGAACCAAACTTGGAGAAATCCATGTCTTCACCTTTCACAATCAGAGGACGCTTGTGTAAAAGACCCTGAGAAGGAAGTTCGTATCTGAATGCAGCCATCAGAGAGAGCTCATCTCTTTCAAGACAGTGGTAGTACTCAGGGCTGAGATAACGAATAAAATGTGAGCCAACACGGAGAGTTCCGCACCCAATCTCAAGCACACGTGAGTTGGGTGATAGGTGGCTAGACTCAGCAAGGAACTCAAACACATCCCGTCCACCTGCCCAGGGCTCCCCATAGTTGCTATGGTGCTCTTCCACAAGCAGCTCACCAGGACATGGGAGTGCAGTGTGATTATCTGACTCTGGCCCTTCATAATGTGATATACCCTTGAACCTGAAAAAGGGAGACAGGTCAATTCAAAACCATTCATGTGCCCTGGAATTAAAATGAACAAGATACGAATATCTAAGTTTGCGAGTACATGCACAAACATTCGAAGACATTCTCAGTTTCGAATCCGGAGGGAGCCGGTAACATTAACAACAAAAAGTTGCAACACTGCACTTCGAAATTGCAGGAAGAAAAACTCTTACTCTCATATCAAATAAAACACTTCACATTGGATGTGTTCAAATGATTCCCACTTCTTTCCATCACAGGAACATCATTTCCTCCTTCCACTGCATCAATTACTTTCCAATCCATTCTACCAAAAATAGGTTAAGTGCAAAGAAACAATTAACAAAACATTTGCAAGCAAAACAATGGAGCACCGACACAATGAGCCATCAACAGCCAAAAGTTGACTTACATCCACACAAACAAGCCCTCATGGTTCCGAGTTTGCAGGATTAAACAGATAAAAACGCAGCACCTTTCATCTTCAAACATGTCCAACTCGCATTAAAGTACCGTTTCATAACAGCCCAAATACACCAACACGCACATGACCCTTAAAACTCCCACCGTTTTCAACACACAAAGCACAATCATCCGAAAAAACACCAACCAAGATCCAAAAATCTAAACTTTATCAACACCCAATACACAACCATCTAAAACAAACAAAACCCAGCACTCAAAAACCATATAAAAACGTAAAAGAGAGTTACTTACTGGATAAGATCTTGTAACTGTTGAGCTCTAGTACGAGGATTAATCCCTTTACGAAGAACATTAACTTGCATATGTAAACCATTAGCTTGGATCTGATCTTTAATCCATTCAATATCCTCTTTTGTAGCTGATATTCTTTCTTTTCTATCAACCTCACCAAGCACATCTCCACCATTGTTATTATCATTAAAGCTTTGCAAAGAAGAGGGACAAGAACATGTAGAGAGAGAAGACAGGAGAAAGCATAACATTATTGCTGCTATCAAAACTGAAAGAACTAACGTTGGAATTGAAATTACTATTCCCTTTTGTGCTGGTGAATATGTTACTGTTGATAATGCCATCCTTTCGTTCCCCTTCCTCTCTTTCTCTCTACTACTTGCTTGATTTTTGATGAAAATGAAATTATTGTTTTATTTATTTATTTATGTGCGGCTTGTGTGGTTTGAGGTCCCATGATCTGTTGGTTTCTTTATGAGCATGTTGTGTCTTTTTTTGGAATTGAGATTGAATTTGATTTTTGTGTTTTGCAAGTTAGGTGCCTGCATTTTGTCTTAATTACATGAATATCCACAAGGATAAAATTTGAATAAGAAAAGTCTTGAACATATGATAAATTGAGATTTTAATCAGTTTATTTTATGTTTTTTCATTTTATTTTCAACCAAATCTAACCAAATGCTCATCATTTAATTTAACTAAATGATCATTGGTTTAATTTTTTTATTTAAAAAATATAATTAGTATATAAATATTTTAAATAGAAATTTTAAGTTTTTAACCGACTTTGATATAATGAATTGTGTTTTTTTAAAAAAAATTATTTAGTTTTTTTTTAATTTAACTTTTTTTATTTTTTTAATTCTCAAATTTAAAACTGAAATACCAAACTGATTTTAAAAAAAAAAATTCTAAATGTTTTTTCAGTTAATTATTCAAAAAAACATTTTCATCCAACTTGATTACATACTCCGTGTGAATGCAAACTAAAGAGAGTAAATTTATTGTTTATCTTATTCAATGTTTTGATAACACTAACACGATTATTGCATATCATATTGAACAAAAAATGAATTAATCTCAAAATCTAGAAATAATTTTGATATATTATAAATATAGAAGTTAATTAGAAAAACAAATGTTTTCGAAAGTGATTTTAAAAAATAGATCAAAACACCCCAATTTAAAGTAAAATTAGTCGATTTTTAACTTATAAGTATATATAAACATTCCAAATTAAGTGTTTTCTTAATCACCACTGACCATATGAAGTGATCAAGCGTCCACTGACACCATTGTTTTTATTTAGCTTTTGATTTCTTGAATTTGCATTAGACAAGTATAGAAAGTTTTGATTTGTTTTGAATTTTTCTAAGAAATGGAACGTTTGAAGCTGAACTGAAAAGTACTCTACTGAATCAAGTGAAGTGAGCAAACAATCGTATGGGTTTTGGCGTAGTTATTCAACAACTATCTCGCTTGCATGATTCAGGTCTGAGCCAATCTTCCATTGTTGCTCTACCTGTGTTTTACTACAGGCATATCATGGGTTCAAAGCTGTAGCCATTTGATTATGCATTTTGTCTCTGAATTCTATGAACAAGAAAGGCCGAGGTTGCTTCTTCCCCTATGCAATCATGCCTTTCACATTGACTGCATGGATACTTGGCTTCTCTCAAACTCAACGTGCCCTCTGTGCAGAGGAGCCCTTTTAGGCTTTATTCTTCGTATGGAAAATCTTGAATTCTCTCCAAATGATGCGATCAGCTGCTCCATCCTCGCCAAAGACGCCTTCCTTTAACAATTCTATCCAAGCTTTTCATTTTTAAAAGAGAACATGCTGTGGTTTTTAAAAAGGAGGTTCATTAATTGATCTTGGACTGGGATGCCGCCCTTTTACATCTTGCATGTTGTTTCACTGCTCTGTTTGTGTTGTTAGGTTGGTTGTCATTTCATGTAAGACACTAACCATTGACTATTAATTATTGATAGCCACTATTGTTGAATGAGCTAGAATTGGTGATCACCAATATTGACAATAAACCAAGAAGAGCCTCCATGAATGCCTATAAATAGAGGCATATGTTAGAGAGCAAAATGAGAGAAAGAAAAGAGTCAAAGATGTGAGAAATGTAGGAGAGAGTGGGCTGCCATTGCAGCACTAAAAAGAGAGAAATAGAGTGAGGTTGAGAGTTGTGAAAGAGGGGATGATTCCTCCTCCTCTATTGTTGTAAATCTTGTACTCTCCCTACATAATGCAATGGCTTCTTCCGTGGATGTAGGCGGTTTGCCGAACCACGTAAAATACCATTTCTCAGTGTGCTTCTCCTTCTATGAGCAAATATCAGTACATCACCGGTCCGAAATTCCCAATATATGTGTGTTTTAATCGAAAATCTTTGAACTTTTCTGCCATGTTTCACATACAAGAATGCTGAACACCAGTTTTTTTCATTTCTTTTTTACAAATCCACATGATCGCTCCTGGGCCTGGTTTTTGATGCAAGAGAATGAAGAAAATCTGGCTAGGAAGCATGGTGTCACAGAATTCTATAATCTTACTTTGATCCTTTCGCTTTTGCTGTTATATTGTTCATACTCAACATGCTATTGCCACAAAGAATGTCTGCCTGCCATATCTGTTTAAGAAGAAAACAATTCATGCTTGCAGTTGGTTCCTGGTTTCTTGGTTTAATCAAACAGAGCATTGTAGTTTAGCTCCCACCTCTTCCAGTCCTCCTTTGATCTAATCATTCTGTTTAGCTGATTGGATTTTTTACGTACTCAAAGCTTTGTTTTACAGGAGACCAGCTAGCCACCATGCAGTCTTCAAACCTGAGCAGCTGCTTTTATTTATTTATTTATTATTGTTTCCATCTATTATTGTTAGTAGATGTGTGTGATTGTAATTTAAATTGTTTTTTTTAGAAATATATTAAAATAATATTTTTTATTTTTAAAAAATTATTTTTAATATCAAAACATCAAAATGATTTGAAAACACACAAAAAAATAATTTTTAATAAAGAAAATAAAAATAAAAATTGAAGGAAATGTGGCCTTTTCATTATCTCTATTTTTCCTTGGGTATTTTATACACCAAACCAAAACAACTCTATGCCCGTCCATAGGCCCAAATAGTAGGAAAGGAAGGTTGATTTTTTTAAAAAAATATATTAAAATATTTTTTAAAAATTTATTTTAGATACAAATATACTAAATGATTTAAAAATAATTTAAGACTAATACAAATTTAATTTTTTTTAAAAATACGATTCTACTGCAGCTCCAAACAAGTTCTCCTTTAAATATATTAGAATTAAGAATTTTAAAATTTTATTTTACTAGCTTTGGTTAAAAAAAGGGAATATGTTAAATTTAGCAAATTTATTCATCATAATATGCTAAATGTAGAGTTTTTCAAGGCCAGATACTTTGGATTTCTATTATTTGGGCCGGTCCGATTGTTAAGTTTAGCACGTTTTGAATCCAAATTCTATAAACTGGGCTAGGCCGATTATTTATTAATATCGAAATTCCATTATTTCTCACTTCATTATCCATTGATCAGTGAAAATACTGTTGAACAAGAGAAAGAAGACAGTGAAGTTGGCTACAATCTCCAGCTTCGAGGGAGGCAAAGGAACTGAGAGGGTGCGAGAGACCACCAGCTTTTTAGTCGAACAATGTTGATGTTCATGCAGAAAAACGCTTTTAAAGCTTCTGCTTCTTCTTCTACTTGGGTCCTTCAACAACATAAGGAGATGGGTTTTTATCTTTTTCTTCCTGATTTCCCTTCTTTCTTATTCTTCAATCATCACCACATCACCACTTCTACTTGTACAAAGAACTCTTCCTTGCCTCAAAAAAATGGTGGGTTTCTTAGTAATAATAGCATTAGTATTGATGATGCCTTGGCTTCATTCTATCGCATGCTTCGCATGCATCCTAGGCCTTCTATTGTGGAATTTGGTAGAGTCTTAGGGTCAAATGCCAAAAAGAAACAGTATTCCACTGTTGTATCTTTGTGCAATCAAATGGATTTGTTTGGAGTTACCCACAATGTTTATTCTCTAAATATATTGATTAACTGCCTTTGTCGCGTGAACCATGTTGTTTTTGCTATCTCTGTTTTGGGTAAGATGTTCAAACTGGGTATTCAACCTGATGCTATCACATTCAATACCCTTATTAATGGGCGCTGCATTGAGGGGGAGATTAAAGAGGCAGTAGGATTGTTTAATGAGATGGTACGCAGAGGACATCAGCCTGATGTAATTAGCTATAGTACTGTAATTAATGGTTTGTGCAAAAGTGGCAACACAAGTTTGGCACTTCAATTGCTCAGGAAGATGGAAGAAAAGGGTTGTAAGCCAAACTTGGTTGCGTATACTACAATCATAGACAGCCTTTGCAAAGATACGCTAGTTAATGACGCCATGGACTTATTATCTGAAATGGTGGACCGGGGCATTCCACCAGATGTTGTTACTTACAGCACGATTCTTCACGGTTTCTGCAGTTTAGGACACTTGAATGAAGCAACCATATTGTTCAATGAAATGGTTGGTAGGAATGTTATTCCAAATACAGTGACCTTCACCATTTTGGTTGATGGACTCTGCAAAGAAGGGATGGTTTCAGAAGCTCGGTGTGTCTTTGAAGCGATGACCGAAAAAGGCGCTGAGCCAAATGCTTACACCTGCAATGCCTTGATGGATGGATATTGTTTAAATAACCAAATGGATGAGGCCCAAAAGGTGCTCGACATCATGGTTGACAAGGGTTGTGCACCTGTTGTACATAGTTACAACATCTTGATCAATGGATATTGCAAGAGAAGAAGGCTGGATGAGGCAAAATCACTCCTTGTTGAAATGCCTGAAAAAGAATTGACTCCTGATACTGTCACTTACACCACTCTTATGCAAGGTCTGTGCCAAGTAGGGAGACCTCAGGAAGCTCTAAATCTTTTTAAGGAGATGTGTTCTTCTGGCCTTCTTCCAGATTTGGTGACTTACTCGACTTTGTTAGATGGCTTGTGCAAACATGGACGTTTGGAGGAGGCATTAAAGCTGCTCAAGTCAATGCAAGAGAGCAAAATAGACCCTGATATAGTCCTTTATAATATTCTTATTGAGGGCATGTTTATTGCTGGGAAGCTTGAAGTTGCAAAGGAACTATTTTCCAAGCTTTTTGCAGATGGAATACAACCTACTATACGGACATACACTATCATGATCAAGGGACTGCTTAAAGAAGGGCTGTCAGATGAAGCATACGAATTGTTTAGAAAAATGGAAGATGATGGCTTCTTGCCTAATAGTTGCTCTTATAATGTTATCATTCAAGGATTTCTTCAAAAATCAGGACTCATCAACTGCTATACGACTTATTGATGAAATGGTTGGTAAAAGATTCTCGGCAGATTCGTCTACATTTCAGATGTTATTGGATCTGGAATCTCATGATGAAATCATAAGCCGGTTTATGCGTGGAAGCTCTCAAGGTAGAAAAATGAAGTGAAATTTTCCTATTCAAGTGCTGTCGTAGGTTGCTGTCCCTCTTGTGAGTTATCACAATACTCAATTCTTCAACTTTATTGTTCGACTTGTAACACTTTCATTCACATTAAGCTCTGTCCTGTTTGTGCTGCTATCCATTATCTGTACCACAGCAAACACATAGTTTATTCAAATCTTTTAATTTCTTACTAACAGAAATTCCATGGTTGGTTAGGGTCCTGTACTTCCAAGAAAATGCATTGAAAAGAGTGAACTGGACGTTTGAACATTATTCCTGTTCACCATGAACACTTCTCCTTGATGAGGTTTGCTGCTCATTCTCCCTAGACGTATATCAACTGACACTATATTATCACAATTCAAGTTCGTAATCATAACAGTGGTAATTGACGCATGTTTGCTGCTCACGTTGTCACAATTACCACACGCATGATTCATATCCATACACAATCATGTTGACACAATGATGCATATCAATTACATCTGTGATTTTCATAATTCAAATGCACAATATCCCTTGATGCAGACTGCTCTTTGATGAGGTTTGCTGCTCTTTCGCCCCTGTAGTATATGAATAAATATTGACGCATGCTCGCTTATAGACGCACTTGGTCATTTTCACAGTTCAAATGCATTCAGTTCTATCCGAAAGACTGAAAGCCCTCGATTCTAGAACACTGAAGTCTCATTCTTGTATGAAGAAGCTCTCAAGTATTTATTTGTGAAATTTATCTCTACATAAATTTGCTTGACAGGTGGAAAAGGAGCAAGTGACTGCTTTTGAGGCCGTAGGTGAACTTTTTGCATGAGAAAGCATGCACAGTCAATAACCATCCAAATTAATCTGGACTTTCTGCTATTGCCCTTTATCGATGAGCAAGCTTGGTGGTCTTCTACATATTTTTAGATATGGACTGAGGAACCTAATGTGTTCGATTACTTTGCATGTATAATTCAGACTATTTTTTTGAAAAAAATAGTTAATGTTAATTAAAACTTATAGCGAGAAGTTGATTTTTTTATTAAAAATAAAAAGGTAGATATTTATGAAAATATTTGATTTCGCAGTGCATTTTTTAAATATTTTTATTTAATTATATGGAATTTACAATGGAGACAACTATATAAATTATATAGAAAAAAAAATAAAATTTTTAGTTCATGTATCTTTTTTTTTGTTTTTAAAAAACATATTTTTTAGCAGTAATTTTTTGAAAATTATTTTCCACAGATGATTATTCCTAAAAAAAGCTTCTTAAACATCACGAATGGTATTGACCGCATCATTGAAACTACTTGAGTTAGATGGTGATCATATGTTCTCCTCTCTGTTTTATTTTTCTTCATCTCTTTCAAGATGTAAAACAAAATTGAATCCAGGAGTCAGATTATATTATTAAAATAGTTAGGGACCATAGTGAAAAGAATTTAAAAGTTTGAGAACCAAAATGTAAAGAATAAAAATTCAAAACCAAAATACATCTTGTCATACTTGAAGGTTGCACCTAGACAGAGCGTTTTTTCATAGTTTGCTGACCTAATTTGGTGGCCGGCCGGTCTAAGATTTGAATTTTTGAAGACAACCTATTTAACTATATTATAGTAATAATGCAACATGTGATATTGCTCTTTTAATCTAATTGAACATAATTATATAAAACATGTAGAGATGTATAAATTCTTTAGCAGTTGGAAAAGAAAATTGTGGGATTGTTTAATATCAAAACTATTTGAGGTTAGAGATGATGGTGCTTTATGTGCTATTGTCTAATATATATATATGTCAAAATTTATAATATATTATTTTATTTTTTGTTGAAGTTTATGTGAAAATAACACATTGAAATAAATTTATTATATTTTTCATAATAAATAATTTTTTATTTGTATCGTATTTAAAACTAATAATTTTAAATTTTTATTCCCCTAGCTTTAGAAAAAAAAGAAGAGAGAATAATGTTAAATTCAGTAAATTTATGAGATGCCAAATGGAGCATTTTCAAGGCAAAGAACTGGGCCTGTCAAGATATCTCTCATTCTATTAATTAATTGGGCCAGGCCGATTATTTATTAATATTGAAATTCGATTATTTCGGCCTACAAATGGCAACCACTAGTGGAAAAATGGTGACCGTGAGAAACTGGACGGTGAAGTTTGCGACCATCTCCAGCTTCAAAGGAGGCAAAGGAGCAGAGAGAGAGAGAGAGAGATCAGCAGCTTTTTAACCAAACAACGATGATGTTCATGCGAAATAGCGCTTTCATAGCTATTGCTTCTTCTGCTATTCGGGTTCCTCAACATCATATGGAAACGGGTATCTTTCCTTTATTCTTCAATCTTCACCACATTACCACCTCTACCTGTACAAATAAACCTTTTCTGCCTCAAAAAAATGGTGGGTTTGTTAGTAATACTAGCTATAACATTAGCATTGATGATGCCTTGGCTTCATTCTATAGCATGGTCCGGATGAATCCTAGGCCTTCTGTTGTGGTATTTTGCAAATTCTTAGGGTCCTTTGCCAAAAGCAAACAGTATTCCACTGTTGTCTCTTTGTGCGATCAGATTGATTTGTTTGGAGTTGCCCACAATGATTATACTCTAAATATATTGATTAACTCTCTTTGTCGCTTGAACCATGCTCATTTTGCTGTCTCTGTCTTGAGTAAGATGTTCAAACTGGGTATTCAACCTGATGTTATCACATTCAATACACTCATTAATGGCCTCTGCAACGAGGGGAAGATTAAAGATGCTGCAGAGTTGTTTAATGAGATGGTGCGGAGAGGGCATGAGCCTGATGTAATTAGCTATAATACTATAATCAATGGTTTGTGCAAAACTGGCAACACAAACATGGCTGTTCACGTGTTCAAGAAGATGGAACAAAATGGGTGCAAGCCAGATGTGGTGACATATAGTACGATCATAGACAGCCTTTGCAAAGATAAGCTATTTAATGATGCCATGGACTTCTTATCTAAGATGGTGGGTCGGGGCATTTCACCAAATGTTTTTACTTACAACTCCATACTCCATGGCTTTTGCAATTTAGGACAACTGAATGAAGCTACTAGATTGTTCAAAGAAATGGTTGGTAAGGATGTTATGCCAGATACAGTGACGTTTAATATTTTGGTTGATGGACTCTGCAAAGAAGGGATGGTTTTAGAAGCTCGATGCGTCTTTGAAATGATGACCGAAAAAGGTGTTGAGCCAAATGTTTACACCTACAGTGCCTTGATGGATGGATATTGTTTACAAAACCAAATGAACGAGGCCCACAAAGTGCTTGACATCATGGTTGGCAAGGGCTGTGCACCTGATGTACATAGTTACAGCATCTTGATCAATGGATATTGCAAGAGTAGAAGGATGGATAAGGCAAAAGAATTACTTACTCAAATGTCTGAAAAAGAATTGACTCCTAATACTGTCACTTACAACACTCTTATGCATGGCATGTGCCAAGTAGGGAGACCTCGAGAAGCTCAAAAGCTTTTCAAGGAGATGTGTTCTTCTGGCCTGCTTCCAAATTTGATGACTTACTCGATTTTGCTAGATGGCTTGTGCAAACATGATGGGCATTTGGATGAGGCACTACAACTGATCAAGGCAATGCAAGAGAGGAAAATAGAACCTGATATCGTCCTTCATACTATTATTATTGAAGGGATGTTTATTGCTGGGAAGCTTGAAGTTGCAAAGGAACTATTTTCCAAGCTTTTTACTGATGGAATTCAACCTACTGTACAGACATACAATGTCATGATCAAGGGACTTCTTAAAGAAGGGCTGTCAAATGAAGCATACGAATTGTTTAGAAAAATGGAAGATGATGGTTTCTTGCCAAACGGTTGCTCTTATAATGTTATCATTCAAGGATTTCTTCAAAATGGGGACTCAACAACTGCTCTACAACTTATTGATGAAATGGTTGGTAAAAGATTCTCGGCAGATTCATCTACATTTCAGATGTTATTGGATCTGGAATCTCGTGATGAAATCATAAGCCGATTTATGTGTGGAAGCTCTCAAGGTAGAAAATGAAGTGAAATTTTCCTATTCAAATGCTGTTGTAGGTTGCTGTCCCTCTTGTGAGTTATCACAATACTCAATTCTTCAACTTTAGTGAATGATCTGTAACTTTTATGGTGACTGCCTCTTGTAAGTTAACTTTTATGGTGACCACCTCTTGTAAGTTATCACAGTACTCAGTTCTTTAACTTTACTGAATGGTCTGTAACATTTATGGTGACTTCCAGGGATCTGTTTTTGGCAATAGAGCTCACCTTGCATTGTATGTTGACTTGAATCTATGTGTATAAAATACAGTGTACCATAGCCAGTCTTGTTTTCCTCTCTGTGACGAATTTTCTAACTTAAAATAGGTATTTCAAGTTTTGAGATTGCATCTTACATTGTGACCTCTAGTAATCTTAACGAAGGAATGATTCAAAAAGGTGAGCTCGAGGGTTCTCTCAATCATGTTCTAGTATCCGCTCGAGGGTTCTCTCAATCATGTTCTATTATCCAAGTTACAACAGGTTTTATTGGAGCTGATATGAATGTGTGGTTGACAAGGCTGGCAATCTTTCTGTAGAGATAATTGGTAAGCATAGTACCATCTATCCAGAGAATCTACAGTTTTAGAACACAAAAAAAGATGACGGAGGATACCTCGGTTGCCATCATCATGAGATCCTATAGTTTTAACAGTTTTCTTGAAAAGGGTAGGACTCTAAAGCATCAGTACCATAAGCATAAGTTCTTTTATGCATTTTAAGCACTCATTTGCCTAGTACTGGCATTCAGCTTTTGATTTCTAGAGTCTGCGCACATTTTAAGTCGAAGGCTGCTTGTGTCTGTAGTACACTAGCAAAAAGGCCAGCGCTCTGCTTTTCATTTGTCTGGACAATATTGACGAGGTGCATTATCCCATTGCTCGATCAGGATTAAACTGCTATAATGCAGAAAATGATGTGAGCAGTTCGTGCTGGTATCATATGAGAGTGACCTTGCAGGTTTTTGATGGGTCAGGATTGAAGAAGGATTTTTTTTTGTTTTATTAACGTGAGTGTTTGAATTAGTATACTTGTACCTTGATTAAGAATTTTTTTTTTTTATTCAAGAAGAAATCTTGCCATAACAACATCTTGTTGTTCCTTTGATGAATGCCAAATTGCTTTCGAGCCTCTAAAGAAGATTTTTTTTCTTTTTTTATTAACATAAATATTCAAGATCTAAAGAAAAATTTTAAGCTAGAGTGTTGTCAATGTAAACATGCCTTTAACATTATTATACATTTTGATTTAATGATCCATGCATAAAGAAAAAGAAATACGGTTTTTTTTTATTAATGAAATACAAAGAGAACAAAAGGAAGAATTAATTATAATTTCATTAAATTATATGAAAAAAATATTATTTGATGAGATGAACAAAAAAGGGTATGAACCAAGTGCTATCATTTATCACAATTTTATAATGAATCCTCGATGTAAAATTGGCAACAAGAGCATGGCTCTTCAGTTACCTAGGAAAATGGAATCAGAGTTTTTAAACCTTTAAGATCTAAATTTCAAGTTTTGATTGGTTACAGAGTTGGATTAATTTTAATTTTTTAAAATTAAAATAATTTTTTTTAGTAAAATAAAAATTAATAGATTATAACTAGATTTTTTTATCAAATCACATCAAATTTTAACTTTTTTTATTTTTATTAAATTTAACCAAGTTTAAGTTAGTTGAGTTTTCTATGAACGAAATAAGAAGATTGTAAGCTAAATATTGTCATTTAAAAAAATAAATTTAAGAAAAATTATAATTAAGATCTGAGAAAGTTTTATATAAAACTGGAATGTTTATTAAATTAATCAAATATTTTTAAATTTATAGTTAAAGTAAAGCACAGACCGTATAACATCCTTTTAAAATATTTTTAAATAAACCATTTTAAATATTTATTTTCTTAAAAGAAGAATAATTGTAAAAATAGCAAATTTATTCAACACAAGAAACGCCGAATGTAAAGATTTTTAGGCAAAAAAACTGGTCTTGTCAAGCATGCTTTCATTCTGTTAATTGGGCTTGGCCCATTATTTAATAATATGAAAGTTCGATTATTTCTGCAAAAATGGTTGACCAAGAGAGAGAAGACGGCGAAAAGTTTGCTACCATCTCCAGCTTTCAAAGGAGGCAAAGGAACTGCGAGAGTCAGAGAGAGACCAGCAGCTTTTTAACCTAACAATGATGATGCTTATGAGAAATAGCGCCTTTAGAGCTATTGCTTCTTCTGCTATTTGGGTTCTTCAACAACATATGGAAATGGGTATCTTTCCTCTTCTTCCTTATTTCCCTTCTTTCTTATTCTTCCATCATCACCGCATCACTACTTCTACTTCTACAAAGAACCCTTCTTTGCCTAAAAAAAATGGTGGGTTTGCTAGTAATAGTAGCAATACCATTAGTGTTGATGATGCCTTGGCTTCATTCTATCGCATGGCCCGCATGAATCCTAGGCCTTCTATTGTGGAATTTGGCAAATTCTTAGGCTCCATTGCCAAAATGAAACATTATTCGACTGTTGTCTATTTGTGCAATCAAATGGATTTGTTTGGAGTTACCCACACTGTTTATTCTCTAAATATATTGATTAACTGCCTTTGTCGCTTGAACCATGTTGATTTTGCTGTCTCTGTCTGGGGCAAGATGTTCAAACTGGGTATTCAACCAGATGTTATTACATTCACTACGCTAATCAATGGGGTCTGCGATGAGGGGAAGATTAAAGTGGCAGTAGAGTTGTATAATGAGATGGTACGGAGTGGGCATGAGCCCGATGTAATTAGCTACAATACTTTAATAAATGGTTTGTGCAATAGCGGCAACACAAATATGGCGGTTCACGTGTTCAAGAAGATGGAGCAAAATGGATGTAAACCAAATGTGGTGACATATAATACAATAATAGATAGCCTTTGCAAAGATAGGCTAGTTAATGATGCCATGGACTTTTTGTCTGAAATGGTGGGCCGGGGCATTCCACCAGATGCTATTACTTACAACTCCATAGTTCATGGTTTATGCTGTTTAGGTCAATTGAATGAGGCAACAAGATTGTTCAAGAGGATGGAACAAAATGGGTGTAAGCCAGATGTGGTGACATATAATATTATTATAAACAGCCTTTACAAAGACAGTCTAGTCAATGACGCTGCGGACTTCTTATCTGAAATGGTGGATCAGGGCATTCCACCAGATGTTGTTACTTACACCACAATACTTCATGGTTTATGCTGTTTAGGTCAATTGAATGAGGCAATAAGATTGTTTAAGAAGATGGAACAAAAAGGGTGCAAGCCAGACGTGGTGGCATATAATACAATAATAGACAGCCTTTGCAAAGATAGGCTAGTTAATGATGCCATGGAATTCTTATCTGAAATGGTGGATAGGGGCATTCCACCAAATGCTGTTACTTACAGCACGATGCTTCATGGTTTCTGCAATTTAGGACAATTGGATGAAGCAACACAATTGTTCAAAGAAATGGTCGGCAGGAATGTTATGCCGAATACATTGACCTTCACAATTTTGGTTGATGGACTCTGCCAAGAGGGAATGGTTTCAGAAGCTCGGTGGGTCTTTGAAACAATGACTGAAAAAGGTGTAGAGCCAAATATTTACACTTACAATGCGTTGATGAATGGGTACTGTTTACGATGCAAAATGAATGAGGCTAGAAAGGTGTTTGAAAACATGGTTGGCAAGGGTTGTGCACCCGATGTACACAGTTACAACATCTTGATCAATGGATATTGCAATAGTAGAAGGATGGATAAGGCAAAGGCATTACTTACTCAAATGTCTGTAAAAAAATTGACTCCTAATACTGTCACTTACAACACCATTATGAAAGGTTTGTGCTATGTAGGTAGACTTTTGGATGCACAAGACCTATTCAAGAAGATGTGTTCTTCTGGCATGCTTCCAACTTTGATGACTTACTCGATTTTGCTAAATGGCTTATGCAAACATGGACATTTGGATGAGGCATTAAAACTGTTTAAGTCAATGAAAGAGAAGAAATTAGAACCTGATATTATCCTCTATACTATTCTTATTGAAGGCATGTTTATTGGTGGGAAGCTTGAAGTTGCAAAGGGACTATTTTCCAAGCTTTCTGCTAATGGAATACGACCTCCTGAACGGACATACAATGTCATGATCAAGGGATTTCTTAAAGAAGGGCTATCAGATGAAGCATATGAATTGTTTAGAAAATCGAAGATGATGAAGCATAATGCTATCATTTAAGGATTTCTTCAAAATCAGGCTCACCAACTGCTCTACCCCTTATTGATGATATGGTTGGTAAAACATTCTCGGTGGATTTGTCTACAATTCATATGTTATTGGATTTGGAATTTCATGATGAAATCATAAGCTGATTTATGCGTGGAAGCTCTCAGCATAGAAAAATGAGGTGAGTTTTCTTATCAAGTGCTGTTGTAGGCTGCTGTGTCTATTGTGGGTTATCAACTTCAGTGACTGGTTTGCAGCTTGTAGTGACCTTTTTCGCAACTGGTTTGCAACTTTAGTCACCCATGGTAGTGACTTTTTTGCTACTTGTTTTGACACCAATCTCACATCTTATTGTGTGTGATACAAATGTTTCTCTGTATAATTGACATATTGTATGATGACTGGTCTTATTTTCCTTACTGCTATAAAATTTCTAACTTAATTTAGGTATTATAGATTTTGAATTTGTACCTAATGTTGTGACTTGTACTAATCTTAATGAAGGAATGAGTTAGAAATTTGAACATCATGATTTTCATGATCTTTTGCAATTAGCCAAGTTACACCAGGTTTCATCTGAGCTGGTTTGGATGGTGCTGTTGATAAGGCTGGTTGTCTTGCTGTAGGTAGAATAGCTTAGCTCATCTATGTAGAGAATTTAAAGATTTCAAAAATACACAGCATTGACAAAAATGGGCCTATATGATACTGTTTTGGGAATTTTTTGTCTTCTCGAAATTTAGAATTAAGAATCTCGAGACTAGAATTTTGGTTTATTGTCCTATGAGCTGTGGTAAAATCCTAATTGCACAGTGAAGCAGGATCTACTTTCATTCACATCAATGTCAGTCTTGTCCTGCTATCCAGTTTCTCCACTACAGTAAATACATGTTATACTCAAATCCCTTAATTGTTTATTGTCACAAATTCATGTTGGAGAAGTTAGGACCAAAACCTTTTAATTGCAACTGCTTTTGAGTTAGATCAGTGTCAGCTTTATGCTTATGCTCGGTGCTTGTAAAAGGTCGTAATGTACAACTCTCTCTGCTCTCTTTTTATGTCTCTTCATGTCTCTTAAGTTGGTGTCTTCATTGGCAGGCCTGTAGTGGGGACTCGGATGTTGTAAGGCCTTGCATGCTTGTAAGCAGATTGATGCCCTCTGCCAAGTCCAAAGGAGCGTTGATTGATCTTAAAAGCTCTGGCCAAGGGAAAACCCTATTGGTGATTTTGTGGATTTGAGTGCCATCGCAGGATATGGGAGACTTGTAACATTCTAGCAGGGCTGATCTTCATAATCTGGTCTGTTTGCAATTCCTGACAATCTGTCTCTTTGCATGGTACAGCTAGAATGCAATCTGGTTATGCAAACTTCTTTTTCTTGGTTTTATTTCAATTTTAACCAAACATAAATTTGCATAAGAGGATCGGTGGATGAGTTGTGGACAGGCTTCTGAAGCAGGTAAAATAAAGTGCACTGTAATTTGTTTTAAACTTGCTTTTCACTACATGCAGTGTTGACTTAGTCCCATTAATTGCAGTTGCTTTAAGAGTTAGATAAGTGTCCAAATGCTCATGTCTCTGGTGCTACCAACAGGTACAATACAGCTTATTCTTTTTTCTTTATATGCCTCGCTATCTTATGTTGGTATCTTTTGCGGAAGGCCTGAAGTATGGACTCTATTGCATACAGCCTGGCATATTCGCAACCAAAATGTATCTTCCCTGCCAAGTCCAAAGGAGCATATATCGATCCTAAAAGCTCTGGCCGTGGAAAGACCTGTTGATGCAATTATGGATTCGAATACCATTGGGAGAATGGATACTTGTAAAATCTGAGTGAGGCTGATCTTATTAGTCTGGTTCGTTTACCACTCCTAACACATTTATTTATTTATTTTGTATGGTGAGCTGGACTGCAATGCAATGCAATCTAATATGGCGATAGTTTTTCTATTTTTCGGAGTTACTTTAAGTTAATCTTAACATGAATTTGCTTGACAGGTGGAAAAGGAGCAAGTGACTGCTTTGAGGCAGCAAGTAAACTTTTTGGATGAGAAAGCACGCATAATCAAGACCATCCAAATTTATGTGGATTTTCTGCTTGTGCCCATTATCGATGAGGAAGCTTGGTGGCCTTCAACACATTTTTAGATATGGGCTGAGGAGCCTAATGCGTTTGATTATTTGGCATGTATAATTCAGATTTTGTTCTCTTAGGAGTGGAGGTGGAGTCTTAAAGCTGCTGTGCTAATTGAATGCTTCGATTAAAAGTGACTTGATTGTTTAGTAAAAGCTGCTAGCGACTAAGAATCGACGGATCAATTTTTTAAATAATACTTTTATTGTTCCTTAATTTAGGTATTTTAGATTTTGAATGTGTACCTAATGTTGTGACATGTCCTGGTCCTAATGAAGGAATGAGTTAGAAACGTGAACGTGGTGGTGCCTTTTATGTTCTTGTGCTATTAGCCCAGTTACGATTTAACCCTAAATCGATGATTTTGATAATTTTAACCCCTATGTACGGACAATTGAAAGTTGGAACACCATCCGTTCCCTTTCCTGATTGTTTGCCTCCCAGGGATTTGGGCGTGAGAGCTACATGTGGGAGTCTTGATGCCTGACCGTACTACTTGCAGGCATCAAAATTGACTAGATGGTTGGCATTATTGTAGAAGTTATTATATCATATTTATAGTATTCTATTAGTAGTTGTTTATTCACGATAAAGAAAAATAACTATAATTATCAAACTATTTTATTATATTGCACAAATATTTAGTTGCTCTCTAAATCAAGATCACAAAATGCCAAATGCATGTTGCTGTGTCAGGAGTAGGGATCAATGCAAGATAACACAAGGAATCAACATTTCAAGAGAGGACAAATCCATGAATCAATTTTTTTACTACAAAAACAATATCACTTGAGCTTATATTAATCACTCTTTGTTGAATGAACTGAAACCATTGTTTAAAGGGTGTGATTGCCAAGAAAAGGCAGGGAGAGATGGAGAAAGAGAGCTCAAAAATAAATCAAATTCTGAGCATGAAAGGAGGGTTGGGAGAGGAGAGCTATGCCAAGAACTCAAAACCACAGGTACGTTCCAACTTCTCTTTTTCCTGCTGTGTGAATCGTATTCAGCACGGAGCCATGCCTGAAAAATAGCATGTAATTCTTTAGGGCCCTTGGTGTTCGTGCTTAAATCAAATAATCCAGGTCTGCAAAATCCATGTATACATTAAGAAAATAAAAAACCTTATTCATGCACAGTTCTTTGGAGTAGACCACTGTGGCTTAATTGATAAGAACCACAGCAATCCTTTCTCTTATTGTTATGTCTTTAGTTTTTCTACTCTAGCTTTAAGAATTTGGATAAAAGATGCACAATCATATGTGTGCGTGCGCATGCACAATCCTTCTAAACAGAGTCTTCTTTTTGTAGCGAGCAAATCTATCCAGTTCAGTGCCAGTACTAAAACAAGCAGTGCTTGATTTCTGCGACACCGAACTTCCTCATTGTATCACTATAGCAGACCTTGGATGTTCTTCAGGACCCAACACTTTCTTTGCAGTTACTCAGATCACAAGCTTGATCTACGAAAGGTGCTCTCAACTGGGCCTATCACCACCAGAATTTTCTATTTTCTTGAATGATCTTCCAGGAAATGATTTCAACACCGTTTTCCAGTCTTTTCTGCCAGCTTTCAAGGAGAAAATAGGGGCAGAAAACGGTTCAGATTTTGGTCCCTGTTATATTTCTGGAGTTCCAGGTTCATTTTATGGGAGGCTTTTTCCATCGAATAGCCTGCATTTTGTGCACTCTGGAACTAGTCTTCATTGGCTCTCACAGGTTTGTCATAACCATCCAACTCTTGAGTGTTTTTTCTTCTTCATGAAATCTATCAATATTTCAACTATTGTTTGTTGATCCCATTTGATCTCTGAAAATGTTTACAGGTACCTCCTGAGTTGAATGATAAATCAAATCCACTAATAAACAAAGGGAAAATATACATTTCAAAGACAAGTCCAGCAGCTGCGATAGAGGCATATCAGATTCAGTTTCAAAAGGATTTCTGTTCATTTCTTATGGCACGCTCTACGGAAGTAGTTCCAGGGGGACGTATGGTCTTTACATTAAAGGCAAGAAGATTTGCAGACCCAACCGCCGATGAAAGTTGTTTGATCTGGGATTATTTAGGCCAGGCACTCCAGGATTTAGTTTTGAAGGTGCCCGTTGGGTTGCCATCCCTCTCTTTCTCCATATTTTTCATTATCAAGTTCAAATAATAAATATATATCAGTGCACTTGGCTATTTTTCCACATTTTGAATGTTCTTTTAACTTCTTTTTTTCTGAAAATATTTTATTTTAACTTATATGTTACTTGTAGATTTTGCTGATTGGTGATTACATCTTCATATGGTTGAGTTTGCTGATTAGTGATTTCTTTCTTTGGTTTTTTAGAGAGTCATTAATTAGTGAATTCTTAATCCAGGGGCTAATCGAAGAAGAAAAGTTAGACACCTATAATGCTCCATACCATGAGCCATACGTAGAAGAAATCAAGACTGAGATAGCGAAAGAAGGATCTTTTACCCTCAATTGCCTTGAGATCATTGCCCTTCCATGGGATGCCTGTAATGGAGGAATGAAGTGTGATAGAGAAACAACAGCAAAAAACTTGGTGAGGGTCTTAAAAGCAATCAATGAGTCAATGATTCGGTCTCATTTTGGCGCAGAAGTTTTGGATCCTTTATTTCAAGTTTTGACTGCTATCATCGCAGCTGATACAAAGGAAGTGGAGCATGTCACTGCTGTCTTTTATGTGACTAGAAAAGATTAGCAGCATTTGGAGTTGTCTCTTTTTCCTTTTTGATTAATGAAGTTTCCATTAAGCAATAAGTCAACGGTAACAGGGATTGTAAATCCTGCAGCAGTGCAGCAGCTTACTAGTTCTAGTTGAATGATATTTTGCAGAAACTGCTTAGCACAGTCTCTAGAATGACAGGATTTATCGTTGGCATATGCTTTTAGTTCAAGTACTAGAAAAGATGAGATGATAACAATCTGCAGATGCAAGATTACACAGACTACACAATGGATCAACTGTTCTTCCCATCATAACCTGTCCACTTCTCAATTTGTGGTCACCCAAGATCAGAACAACTAGCCACGAAATAAAACTGAGCATCAGCAGTAACTTTTACCAACCACTCTGCCTCCTTTCTTCCTAACATATTCCTGAAAATCGCTTTGTTAAAAACTGGCCATCAATTTATACTGAAGTTTCCATGATGCACTATCATTAGTGCAAGGATGCATCAAGTCACAAATTATAGCTCTTTAAATTGCTGTCATTTTGTTGGAAAGCTTCCTAGCTAGATCTCTATGAACAATCACTAAGAATGGTTAAGGATACTAAAAATCTTTTCCTTTAAGAAGATGGGAATTTTGGTACATGTCCATGTTCATTTTTGGTCTTGTGGGGAGCAAATTCAACGGTGATAATTAAAAAGCACCTCAATGAAAAGCAGAGGAGAGGTGAACAAAAAGCATTTTAAAGTAGCTACTCAAAAACCGAATTTAGAACTCATTTAATGGTGGGATCCAAGAACAAAACTTGTGTTTTATTTTGTAACCAGATGGGATAAATTAAATGTTGTTGGATAGCAAATGTATAAGCTAACTCAATGCTAAATTGGCTCTTAATGTTGAATCAATTCAAATCATGTTTGGGTTGCTCGCCACAATTCATTTGGTTTTAGAAATATATGGGGAATTTCGAATGTAAAATTGAATCGAACTAATGTATAGGATGAATGTCTATAATTATATCAATATGAGATATTTTGAAAACCTATTTTGATTCGATTCGATTCCATTTATTATATTATAGGTAATATTCTATTTATATGAGATATATTGTGTGTTTATGTGTGTTATTCTATTTAATCTTGTAGTTTTGTCTCGAATTTTATTAGAATTGCATGAGGGAAAGATCATTTTTATCCAAATTCCTTCATAATTGATTCCCTTTTATTTTTGTATTTTAAAAAAAATTAATATTTTTTTACTTTTTTACTTTAAATTATATTTTTTTAGTGTTTCCAAATCATTTTAATATGCTTATATTAAAAATAATTTTTTTTAATAAAAAATATTATTTTAATATATTTTCAAGTAAAAAATACTTTAAAAAATAACTATAACTACATTTCCAAACAGACTAGATAAAGCAATTTTTTATTTTTAAATAAAGATATGAGCATTTTTAAATTTTTATCATTAAAAATAATTTTAATTATAAATTGAAAAGTAGATACATGCATTCAATATAATAAATAAAAAAATTATATATATTAAAAAAAATTTCTATTATAAATTTAACCAATAACTCATTAAATTAGTCACAAAAGAATTCAATTAAAAAACTAATTTAATCTTATCAATTTTGTTATTCTATTACAAATTTAACCAATAAATTGGCCATAAAGAATTCAAATCAATAAAATTTAATTTAATTTTATCAAAATGAACATTAATTAAGTATCAAATAAAAAAAACATGTATGCACAGTCTTTTAGTGTTTTCCACCTTAACTTTTTTAAATGTATTGAAAATGATAATTAAACATCACTCTTGCATTAGGTTAATTTTGGCAAGTATTAGTATAAATTTATGATTTAATATTATTAATTACTGTCATTATTTTATGAACATTGTAATTATAATAATTAATATTAATGTAAATAAACATAAAAAAGATACCAAATGCTTGTTGCCGGTACTAGCTAGGACAAGAGCAGCAGCATCGTGACAAAGTCACAAGCAAAGTCGTTTTACAAAAAGTCATAACCGGTTAAAGAGGTTTATTTATTTATTTATTTATTGTGTGTGGTTAGTAGTTTATTTCTTAAAAAAATAGATAGGTTTTTTATAAAATATATTAAAATAAATTTTTTTATATCAATTTTTTTATTTTGATATGATTATAATTATTTTTGTATTAGCACATTAAAATAAAAAAATATTAATTTTATATATTTTTTTAAAAAAACTCATTTTTAAAAAGCATTTAAAAACAAAAATTACTACACGTATTTACTATATGATATTTTTAGGGAATAACTAATGAGGTTTTATTAATTATTTTGAAATTTATTTTTAAAAAAAATGGATATAATTAGATAAGAAAATTTTTAAATAAAAATATTTTTATTATTTTTGATGGGTCATGAGTTTTATTTATTTTTTCTTCTTGTATCTGTCTCTTTGTTTAAGATAAATCAAACCAATATCTAATAAATTACATCATAAAATTTCTTTATTTTTAGCAACATGAAGTATAAAGGTTTTTTTAATTTTAACCCTTAACCTCGGATAAAACAGCCCTTAGCTTCGATTCGTGGGGAAGCAAGCTCATTGTTCTTGGTATGAACTCCATGGAGTCCATGCAGCAATTAAGGAGATTTGATCCATCTCTTAACATTTTGATTTTGGATCTTCGACCACTATTTAAGAGAATTCATTCATTAAATGCATCAAACTAATATAAAAATCGAGAGATTTTTTTAAAATTAGTTGAAAAATAAATTTAATCATGGGTAATAATGCATGAACTAAAACAAAAGTGTTTTTTAACATGAATTTATTGTCTTAAAACTCGATGGCAAAATAAAAACACGAATACTTTTTTAATGATATATATATATATATATATATATATATAGACTTGGTAAATACATTAAACTGAAACAATCATTACATCGTATAAGACTCCACTTCTTGGCTTCACTTTAATTTCCATAATGAAGCAACACGACTGGAAATTAAATCCAAATCACACCACTAAAACCATAGATCTATAAGATAGTGACCTCCACAAGAGCATTTTTTCCCCGATCTACTCATAGAGGTTTGGATCAGGTAACCTTGGAGCTGGGATCACAACAAGGGGATTCTCCAACTTTATAACAATCCCAAACTTCTCTGAAAGATCTGGCTCCTTTCCCTCTGGTAATTCCCAGTCAAAACAGTGTAAGAGTGTGGCGAGGAAGTACATGAACATCCTCTCAGCCATGGCGATTCCAGCACAGCTTCTCCTTCCGGACCCAAACGGAAAGTAGCTCAAGTCACTCCCAGTATAGTCCCACTTACTGCTACCATTCAAGAACCTCTCAGGATTAAAATCTAATGGATTTTCCCATACTGTAGGGTCCCTGTGTATAGCCCAGACGTTCACGAAGACCCTAACGCCCTTGGGGATGGTGTAGCCTCCTACTGTGCATGTTTGACTAGGACAATGAGGGACTAGTAATGGAAGCACTGGGTGCAGCCTCAATGACTCCTTCATGATGGCATAGAGATATGGTAATTTGTTTATGTCGGATTCCTGTACCATTCTGTCCTTTCCAATCACTTCGTCCAGTTCTTGCTGTGCTTTTCTCATCACTTCTGGTTTCCTCATAATCTCAGCCAAGGCAAACTCAACTGCGTTCGAGGATGTTTCTGTGCCACCCACGACCATATCCTTCATATGTTCGTGTGTGTGCAGATAGAATATTATTACTTTTTCATCAAGATAAGATAATATTACTAATCTCATGTAAATTTAATAATATTTTATCAGAGAATAATATTCCATGAATCCGTTGAATTATTGTATATTATTGATTCATGGAATATCTAATAATAGAACAATGTTCTTGATGGTTTTTAATTTTCTGCCTCAAAATAATAATTAAATACTATAATCAATCGTGCTCTTCTTTTAATTGTTTATTTTTGGATTTAAATAAATGTGATATGGATGGAGTACACATCGATCAGTAGATCACGATCTATATAGAAATTATTGTTTAAGATTAATTTAATTAAATAATTAACAGGCTCGCATAAAAACAAAGTTCAGGTTTTATGAGAGTGACCGGTACTCTTATTTTTACATTTGTTTCACGGCTGTGCTAGGCAGTGTTCTTAGTCAAACATGCTCCGCTGCTAAATCAATCTTGTAATTGATGGTTTAATAGTATACTTTACCTTAAACTATTAAGGTTGTAGTAAAACAAAGTTTGAATTTATTATATTTTAAAATTAACTATTATTTACTGAGAAATTAAAGTACGTGCGTATATATATATATATCATCAAATTTGATCATCAAAACCAGAATTCAAATATTTACCTTTAGTTTTAAAGATATAAATATGTCATTTTGAAACAACTTAGTTTTTTCTTCTGAAAAAAAATAATTAGAATAAAATAGAAAAAAGGGCAAGTGAAGTTTCATTTATTAATTATTTACCCTTTAACAATTTAAATAAGTTTAATTAAAAATAGAATTTTTTTACCCGAATTGTTAAAGGGACACGAAAACTGAATTGCCATTAAGTATTTGCTTTTTCTAATTAATTGTTTTAATCCCTTCGATCTAAAAAATCAAATTTATTTCAAATAACATTGGTTTATAATATTTAGATTAATAATCAAAGTTCAACAATTAATTAGTCTTATATAACTGCATATGAAAGTAATTTGATGCCAACCCTTAATTTACTCAATAAATAAGTTTGAGAATATAAAGATAAAATTAATTGATAGTTGAAGTATTGTGTTGCCATCAACCCTATTAGTGTAGGGGTAAAATAAGGTCATCACACCTTTAATTGATCAATAGAAAATTAAGCCAGCAAAAACTCTCTCTCGTGCATGCATGTGAACTTCCACTTCTTATTGTCATCTCCATGGTGCCCATTTGTTTGGTAGTGCGTTACATGTATTTAGATGAGTTTTAAAATTATTTTTATTTTGAAAAATATTAAATTAATATTTTTTGTAATTTTAATATACTAATATTAAAAATAAAAGCAATCTAAAAAATATTTTAATATATTTTTAAATAAAAAAATATTTTTTAAAAGTAACCGCCCCTCAATACTAAATAACAAAACACACACTTACGAATCCATTGAAAAAAGTAATTAATTCAGCGAAAATGTCACCTCAAACAAACTTGTATTTCTAGGTTTAGGTCATTATAATAACCTCATCATTTCAATAAGTGAGTATTCTTTAGGTGATTTATATGTTAATCTAAATTAAATTTCTCTCGTGGCAATTTTAAGCATATGCTTCAAAAGAGTTTAATATAATCTTTTAAATATTAATCCTAAGATTTGAATCTAAGAAATTAATTATATATATATATATGCTAGCTTAGGTAACAGAGCCGGTTAC